AGTCTGATAAGGGGAAGAAATGGAGTTATTGAAATAATATTTTTATTTTGTATAAATATAAATTTTTAATAGAAAATATATTCAAAATATATTTTTGATAAAAAAAAAAAGATTTTTGTATAGATTAATAAATTTATTTTTTAAAATAATAGGAAATTATTTATTTAATATTTTAAAATAATATGTAATTTTTTAAATTGATATGGAATTTTTTAAAAAGATTTTGAATTTTTAACTTAATTATATATTTTTAAAGTTTTTTTTCTATTAAAAATATTATTTTACCAATAAATCATATCATAATAAAAAATCAAAAATTATTTTAAATTGTAACATTTATAAAATGTTTTAAATATAAAAATAAATTTCCATTCAATTATTTTGTTTTTAATTTATCCTATTTTCTTTTTATAAAATATATTTGAAAAAAGAAAATAGGGAAAAGGTATTTAATATTTTTAGATGAAAATATATTTCTATGGTAGAAAATAATATTTTCTATTATTATAAATAAGTAAAATAATATATTTCATGCAAAATAGGTTTTTTAATTTTAAGTTTGAAAATCTATTTTCTATGAAAAACAAAATTATATTTAACTAATAAATTATATACAATTAAAAATATAAAATATTATTTAAATTTAATATTTTATAAAATATATCTAAAATATAAAAAATTGAGATAATTGCATCATTTATTCCAAAATTTTAAATGAAATTTTATTTTAATCTCTCTCTGTCACACATAAGATGCCAAATGAGATCATTCATGTGGTGTTAACACACTTTAATGGTTTTATTGATGAAATGACCAAAATATGATAAATTTGTACATTATAGATCCAATTGGAAATCAAAATAGAATTTTAACTCAAAATTTAGGGACCATAAATGCTATTAATCGATATATATGTGCTCTTTCTTTTTAGAGAAATGTTCGTTACTCAAGTCTCACTTGGTTTGAAATAACATCATTTAATCTATATAAAGTGTAAACTCCAAAAAATATTGAAATTGATTGACTTAAATATGTTTATAAAATTTTAAGTTAACAAATTTATTTATAAATATATAAACTTATATTAATTTATTTAAATTTAATTTAAATAAACTAAAAATAAAAATAAAGTCTATGTGAGAACTAAAAATAAAAATAAAGTCTATGTGAGATTAAACTACTACAAATTTTAAAACTTTAAAATTTTAATTCAAAAAGTTTAAAATTATTTACTAAAATACCCGTAGTAGATTTTTTATAAAATTTAATTTAAATGATTTTTTTATTATTCGACTCATTTTTACAAATAGATTCAAAAAATATTAAAAGTGATTAATTTAGTTACCTTTAATAAAATTTTAATTTTAAAAATGTTAAAAATAATTGATTAAAATACCATTAGTAAAATTTTTTATAAATTTTAATTTAAATGAATTTTCGTTTTTCTTATTAAACTTTTTTTTTTTTTTATAATTAGACTCATATTAAGACACAAAATATGATTCACATTAAATAAAAATATAAATAGAATGAGATCAAAACTCAGTATTGTGCATAGGAATAAGATAATTATGTGGAGTTTGCTTTTTAATTGCTGTAAAAACGATTGCACATCTACTTTATGTTGATAAATAATTCATTAAAGTTAATCAAAATTAAGTCATTGAAGCATTTTTTTTTTAATTTATGGCCTTTTAATTGATTTGCTAACTGTGTGTGTTAATGATTTTATGTTGCATGTTTTACAAGTTGATCATTTTATATTTGATAACATAATTAAATCTTTTTAGTTTTTTGAAATAATTCTTTAATATATATATATATCATTCTTTTAATTTGGTGTGATCTTTATAATTAATTTCTTTTTGTATTTTTTCTTTTAGAATTTTATAATTGTTATTTTCATAAATAAAAACTAATATCAAATTAAATGAAAATCAATTGCACACCTTTCACTAACAATTAGCATTATATGATTTATTGAACACCTTGAAATTTGAACACTTCAATTGCACTTCTCTTATAGAATTAGATGATTAGGATGTAGTGGAGCTATTGGTAACTTAAGACCAAATTACCATAAAAACTGCTCACCTTGACTAAATTTTATCTCAAAATTATTTAATCTTTCTTAGTGATATTAAATTACTCTTTTTTTGTCATATAGACCTGATTGAACCACTTAATGTGAATTATTTTAAGTGGAGAATTATCAATTGAAGTAAATTTAATTGTTTTTTGTGAATTCTTTCAAAATATGACAATTATTGGAACCATTTTTTGAATATGTTTATACCAAGTTACTTTTATTTCATTCATAAAAATTTGTGTTGTTAATGTTAAAAATGAAATCATTATAAATTGTATTGGCATTATATGATAAGGCTGATATTCTAAAAGTTGGAATTGTTTTTAGAAAAAAAAAATACCAAGATTAGAAATTTATTTTATTTTAATTTTTAAATTATGTATTTTATATAATAAAAAATTTCAAATAAAAGAAAATTTAAGTTTTCAATTGTTAGAATGTATAATTATATTCAATCGATAGAAGTACCAATGAAAGATTATCACAAGTAAAAAATGAGATAAAAGATTGATTGATCATAGATAACTTTTATCTTTTTCATGTGACAAAAAGAAAATTAATGCTATATGAGGTTTTGATGGAAATATATAGATGTATTGATTTCAAATTTCTTTAGGATTAACATGTAACTCTTTTATTAGGAGAAATATTGTATATCAATTCATTTTCTTCATTACATAAGTTAAAAAATATTCACGTTGTATAAAAATAGCTTTATCTTTTTCATGTGACAAATAAGGTTAATGTTATATGATGTTTCAATGAAAGTATATAAATGTATTGATTTCAAATTTTTTTACTATCAACATAGAACTATTTTATTGGGAGAAACATTATATATCCTTCATTTTTTCCATTATATAAGTTAAAAATATTCACTATTGTATTAAAAATTTTAAAGTAACCATATTAGCTAATATTTGTTCAAAAGCATTGAAATTTATCTTATGAATTATCACTTTTACATTAATGTAAAAATATTAGGCTAAATTCTACATTTAGGAGCTAACGTTTTAGTCAAATCTCAATTAAGGATATAATGTTTAATTTGATCCAATTCAAGGTCTAATGTTTTCAAAATTGCTCAAAGAATGACTTTTGGGGGAAGCAAATTACAGTCCCATTTAATAATGTGATATTAAACGAAATTAAAATTTTCATTTTGAGAGATTAGGATAAACTTACAATGAATATATTTAATAAAAAAAATTAGTAAAAAAATTCAAAATTTGAATGTAGTAATAATATTATTATATAAAAAAAATTATTTTATATTAGAATTGAATTGACTCTTTGCTATGATAATCTATTATTAGATATATGATGGTGTAAATTTTATCAATGATTATTAAAATTATATCATAAGTTCTCAAAATCATATGAAAGTCTAACAAAATTACACCAAGAGATTATCAAAATTGTAGCAATGTTTACAAAAATTATATTATAAGCTATCAAACTAATATCGAAATTTACCAAAATTTTATCAAAAGGCATCAAACTTTTATAAAATGTTATTAAACTTTTAACAAGATCATATAAAAATTATCAAATTTTATTTATATTATATCAAAATTAAAATTAAATTGTTAGTATTTATAATAATTATTATAGTATCTGAAAAAATTATTTATTGAATTGAATTTTTAACGCATCACACGTGTAAAAAACTAATATATATATATATATATATATTATGAGAAGGATCCATTTATACTTTTTTCGTAAATCAAATTTAAATTCATGACTCATTTGAATTAAAATAATATTTTTAAATTTAATAATTTTGATCCATATATAAAAAAATAAAAATTACACTAATATAAATGGGTACTTATTATATATAGTCTCCTTTGAAATTTGTCAAAGGCTACTTGGGAAACAAAGTGACCATATTTAGAACTGAAATTTCGTAGTGAAACATGCTTGTAGTCAATAAGGAAAAAAAAAACCCTTAATTTATGATTATGATTGATATTCAATCAAGCAAAGGTAACGATAGAATTGGAAAAAAAAGAAACAATCACAAAACATAAAGTAAATTAATTACACTGCAGTTTTGTCCTCAAAATTTTTCTGAATTTTCATTTGCATCATTGACCTTTTAATCATATTATGATTACATATTAGGTCTCAATACAAAAGCATAAATTTCTGAAAAAAATGACAAGAAAACACCATTAGACGACTAGAAAAGAAGCAAACGGGGGCTATGTATCATGTTACCTTCTATGGGGTTCATGTAACAAGTAAATTTATTGGTGGGTCAAAAAAACTAATCCAAGGTCCGCTCCGTTCGTTTCCATTCTCCTTCCATCTTATGAACTCTTCTACCTTTCACCTGCAAGAAGCTAAACAACTAATCCCAGGTCACCCTTCTGCATTCATAGTCAAAAACTGAACTCCTAAGTCCTTTCAAAGATGTAATATTCTCTCTTTCTTTGTCACAGTTATGTTCTTCATTGAGTTTCCAAATCTTTCATATTTTCTATCGGTATATATACCTAATATTTAAACACTTTGAAGTGCATGCTTGTGACCTTGATTTTTTTTTGGTTCTTTTGAGGATGAAATTCTTGTTACGTTTTGATGGGGACAAGGCGGTTGGCACCATCCAGCTTTAGTTTTACCGATCAAGTTTTCTATGGGTATTTTCATATGCAACTTAGAAAGACTTTGCAGGAATGGCAGTTTGAAACACAATTAAGAAAATCTGACTTTAGGCGGTTTGACGTATTCTGGTATCACTCTTGGTAGTCAAACCCATAAAATACTTCTTGGTTATCACTTATCATCTAGCAATGGAGCCTTCTGTCCCTCCATGAGACCGGGCGATTGGGCTGTGTTTTGCCATCTCATGTACATGTTAACCTGTTGCATTGAAGGAGTTTAATGCTTGATTGATTAAGATTGTAAATTTAATCCAAATTCTCACCCCAAACCACTCTAGCCAGAACATGCAGATGATAATCATAAAGTCACAAATTGTGGTGATAATTTAGCAACAATCAGTTGTTGTTCATTGTAATTTTACGACAATAAGATTGTTGTAAAAATATATAAAGGCATGTTTATCTTAACCACTAGTTTGAATTCCTGTTATGTGAAAAACAGAATCATAGAATTTCACATTTTCGATCGTACTTTCTCTATAAGTTCTCGCCTAAGGATTTTCCCAGAAGCTGACTTTGGGACACTGCTTATGAATGTCACCCTCCTTAATCTTTTGAAAGGAGCCACCTGGAAGGGGAAAAACACATTCAATTTTATATGCACCCATTAACAATCAGAAATGAGAAGATAAGAGCTCACTTGAGTCAAGTTGAGATATCTAACTTAAAAAAGGCTATCTTACCTGTTTAGCAATAAAATTTTGAACATCTTCTTCAGTGAGCGAACTGTTGGGTGAGCGAACAACGTATGCAACTGGGACCTCACCAGCTTCAGCATCAGGATATCTGTAGAGTGGAAATGTCTAACTCTCGATATTGTCTTTACAAATCACAAGGCAGAACTCCATATAGATATTTTGCAGATTTAAATGATCCAAACAGTTAAAATTTATAGGTACAATGCAACTTACGGAATGACAACAGCATCCAATATTTCAGGGTGAGATAAAAGTAGTCCTTCAAGCTCTGCTGGCGCAACCTGGTGAGTGTTTATGAAGCCATTAAATCATGCACGTTAACTTTGGAACCACCAGAAAGGGTCATAAATAATTAAAACCAGAACACTACAGCAAAGAAACCATCTATACCATGAAAAATTCAATGTAAAACATGTTACAGATAGCAAGTTTGCAACCCTGGGGACATCGTAGTAAGTTTTCAAAGTTAAGACATATTGAATGAATGACCAATAATTGTTAAATATTTGGACGAGCATTCAACCTAAAACTTATTGGCAAGAGTTGGGGAGACCCTTGTAAGTATGAGCACAAGATGCCCAAATTCTTAACTGATGTAAGATTTTTATTATCAGCACTTTAATAATAACATTGTTTCATGATTTACAAATATCAGAGAGGAGATTCCATCTCTGTACATCAACAACATTATCAATACTGTAAAATATAATTTTTTTTTTTTTTTAAAGAGAGAACCTCCTAGTTGAGTAGTATGAAAGCATAGGCCAAAGATAAACATATAGCAACAATTAGGTGAATCAATTGTATTCTAAGAAATACTGCTGAGGAAGATACATTAACTAGGGAATACTATAAAGAAAAAGTTCATCAGTTATTTTTCTAATACATATTTAAAATTGTTCCCAAAGGAATAACTGAAACTATTTGTGAGAAAACACTTATTTACAGATGATTGTAATCTTGTAATCTGTATATTTATATTTGTATCCTTAAAATTAAGGACAAAAATTAGGATAGACAATCCCTTAATTATAGGATCAGTTTTTAGGAAGATTTAGTTTCCTAGTTTACAGTTAGTTGTGTATAAACTTAAAGTGTTTGTATAATTCTTCATGCGCAGTTTTTCAATATACATTCAGTTTTACTCTTAATTTTTCACACAGTTTTATTTCTTAATTTTTTCACATGATATTAGAGCTTTAGGCTCTTCTTGTGAAGCAAAATTTTCAACCTTCATTGTTGACTTTTATTTTAAGCATTCATTGTTGAACCATGTTACACCCTTCATAGTTATTTTCTTTTTCCCTTTTTTAACCTTCATTGCAAAGAGTTACTTTTGGTTATATCTTAATACTTGTTTCAATTCAAAAAAAGATATCACTACCACCCAATTTGAGGAAGTGTCAATTGAAAAAATCACCTAAATATTATAGATATCTCGAAAACAAGAAGAGTTGGACATAGAAGAGATTGAAAAGCTAAGCCTATTGAAAACCCTTAAAAAGCCTACTACGGTATGTTCCTTGGGTAAGAGATCTTAGTTCAAGTAAAGCTTCTGATTCTCATGGATTAAATGTCTCGATTAAGCCTGTTACGAGTTTTTAGGTCATTCACTTAAGAGCCATAAACCATATGACACATTCTTCACAGAAGTTTAATACATATACCCAGTGTTCTAGTAATAAAAAAATTGTTGTTGCAGATGATTCACTTACTACAGTGACAGGATTAAGAGATGTTCAAATTAATCTCTTATTTGTTCTTAAAAATGTTTATGTTCATAGATTGTCTACTAATCTAATATCTATATAAAAACTTACCAAAAATATGAACTGCAAAGTGACTTTTTATGTTGCTAGATTATCTACTAATCTGATATCTATACAAAAATTTACTAGAGATATGAACTGCAAAGTGACTTTTTATCTATTTTATTGTGAATTTAAGGACCAAAGTTTTGAGAAGAGGATTGGACTTGCTAAGGAGAAGAATGGATTATACTATTTTGAGACACCAAACAACGCAAGTAATATCAACAATAATTTACCTTTGTCATTTTTTTTAAAAATCTTCCAATAAAGACAATCTGGCTTTATCATTTTTGTCTTGGATATCTTTCGTTTGAACTTTGAAAAATATGTTTCCTTTTTTGTTTAAAGGATTAGATTTCAAAAATTTTCATTGTGATGTTTGTGAACTTACAAAGCACAGACGTGTCTTTTTCAATTAGCAATAAAAGAAGTTTTACTCCTTTTTACTTGATTCATAGTGACATGTGAGGTTCCTCTACAATTCTTAATATTTCAGGTGCAAGATGATTTATTTCTTTCATAGATGATGTACTTGGCTCTCGTGGATATTTTTACTGAAATCCAAATCAAATGTGAATAGTATGTTTTCAAGCTTCCAAAACATGTTTCAGAATCAATTTGGAGTGAAAATCAAGAGATTTAGGTCTGATAATGCAAGAGATTATTTTAACTAGAGTTTATCTACTTATTTTCAAAAGGAGGGAATTATTCATGACTCATCTTGTGTTAAACTCCACAGCAGAATGAAATGACAGAGAGGAAAAATAATCATTTATTAGCCACAATTCGAGCTTTATTTTTTCAAGCAAACATACCAAAATCCTATTAGAAGCTGTTTTTACCACCACACATATTATAAATAAATTACCTTCAAGTGTTTTGAGATTTAAAACTCTTATGAAACTACTCTCACAATTCTATCCCAATTTTAATACCACAAACAACCTCACACCTAGGATATTTGGTTGTACATCATTTGTTCATATTTACAGTCATAATAAGAGAAATTGGATCCTAGAGCAATTAAGTGCATTTTTGTGGGATATTCATCAACTCAGAAAAGGTATAAGTGTTATTATCCTCCTATCAAAAAATTTTGCGTCTACAGATGTCACTTTTGAAGAAAGTAAACTATTTTTTATTCAACCTTATTTTCAGAGGCAAACTTCATTCATGGAAGATAAATATAAAGACTTCTTTTTTATGGATTTGTCTTTTTCTTCAACATTTTCACCCATTAATCTTTTTGAATCGAAATATGTTTCTTCTAAGTTCAAGTCAAAACATTGAATTTGAGTCTGAACCCATTCCAAACACAGAAGATGTGACAAAAAATAATATTGTTCTTGATTCTATGAAAGAATTACAGGTGTACTCAAAAATGAAAGTTTTAGATCCTGAACCAATGCCAGTCCAAGAACCTGATCTTAACACTAAAAATAAAGTAACTACAGTCTTTGACTCTGTTTTTCAAAATGATCATGAATCTCTTAAAACTACAACTAATGATTATGATCAACCTATTACCGTTAGGAAAGGAACCAAAAATATACTAAGCATCCACTATACCTAATCTCTAATTTTGTGTCATTTGAAAAACTTTTCATCCCACAAAAATTTTCTTGTGAGCGTAAAAAATATTTATGTTCCAACTACATTATCCGAGGTATTATCTAGTGAGAAATGAAGGTAAGCATGAAAATAAAAATAGAGGCCTTAAAGAAAATAAGACATGGGAACTCGTAGAATTGCCTAAAGGAAAAAATCTAGTTTGATGTAAATGAGTTTTCACTGTAAAATACAAGATGGATGGTATTGTTGAAAGGTATAAAGCCAAGTTAGTGACTAAGGGCTACACTCAAACTTATGAAGTGAATTATCAGAAAACTTTTGCTCCAATTGTCGAGATGAATACAGTTAAAATTTTGTTATCATTGGCTGCAAATTACAATTGACAGCTTCAATAATTTGATATAAAGAATGCTTTTCTACATGGTGATTTGGAAGAAAAAATATATATAAAGGTTCTACCGGGATTTGGAGGTCATTTAGAAGCAAACAAAGTATGCAAGCTAAAAAATACTTTATATGACCTTAAACAATCTCTTAGGGTTTGATTCGAGAGATTTACCAAAGTAATACTAGCAATGGAATATAAGCAGAGTCAAAGAGATCACACATTGTTTATCAAGCACTCTGATTTAGAGAGAGTCATAGTTCTATTAGTGTATGTTAATGATATAATTGTAATTGGATATGATGAAAAAGAGAAAGAATCTCTAAAATAGTGTTTGGCTAGAGAATTTGAGATAAAAGAGCTAAGGAGATTGAACTACTTCCTAAGAATTGAAGTAGCTCACTCACGGCATGATATTTTTATTTCACAACAAAAATATATAAGCGATCTTTTGAAGGAAACTAGAAAGTTTGCATGTAAACTTGCAAATACCCTTATAGATCTTAATCATAAACTTGGAGAAGCTAATGAAAATGCTGTTGTAAATAGAGAGATGTGCCAAAGATTAGTTGAAAGACTCATTTATTTCTCACATACTAGACCCGATATAGCATATGTTACGAGTGTGATAAGTCAATTTATGTATAGTCCTAAAGAAGTGCACCTACAAGCTGTCTACTTCAGTAACTGATAAAAGATTCACCTCAGGCTACTACACTTTCCTAGCTGATAATCTTGTGACTTGAAAAAGTAAAAAACAGAATGTGATGGCAAGATCAAGTGCTGAAACAGAATTCAGAGCAATGGCTTAAGGAATTTATGAACTACTATGGTTAAAGATTATTCTAGAAGCCTTGAAGATCAAGTTGGATGGACTAATGAGATTCTACTGTGATAACAAGTCTACAAAAAGCATTACGCACAATCCTAAGCAACATGACAGAACAAAACACATTGAAATAGACAGGCATTTCATAAAAGAGTAACTAGACAGTGAGTTGATTTGTATATCGTATGTATCAACCAATGGTCAATTTGTAGATGTGTTAACTAAATGTCTCAACAGTGCAACATTTTAAGAAATTATTTTCAAGCTGAGAATGAAAAACACTATTCACCAGCTTGAGGGGAGTGTGGGAAAACACTTATTTATAGTTGATTGTAATCTTGTAATTTGTATATTTATATTTGTATCTCTAGAATTAAGGGCAAAAATTAGGATAGACAATTCCTCAATTATGGGATCAGTTTTTAGAAAGAGTTAGTTTTCTAGTTTACCCACTAGTTAGGTCTACATAAACCTAAGATGCTTGTATAATTCTTCATGAGCAGTTTTGCAATATATATTCAATTTTACTCTTAATTTTCTGCACAATTTTATTTTCATAGTTTTTCCACACTATTATATCTGTATATATTGTTATTCATGAAGATTGAGGCATCTTTCTTTTTACTGAAACTTTTATTTGATACAAAATTCAACGTAGCCAAATGAAATATATAAAAAATGCAATAAAATAAGTTACCTGGAAACCTTTGCACTTAATCAACTCCTTAATTCTATCTACAACATAGAGATTCCCATCCTCGTCAAAGTATCCAAGATCTCCGGTATGTACCCAACCCTTTCCATCTATTGTCTGTTTTGTTGCCTCTGGATTGTTGAAGTAACCTGAAAATAGTTATTTAAATTGTAGTGTCAGAGAAAACAGCAGAAGACACCATGTGCTTGCGGAATAACTTACAACCTGGAAATAAATGACAAAACACTTAATTGAAAACAAATAAGGATTATTAAGAATCTTGCCGATCTAAGTATGAGATGCGTAACTTGGAGTTACTATCATATGAAAGAGGCTGAATAATTAGCATATACAGTGTGCAATTGTGCATATCATCAAATTCAAATGTATCCAATAATTTGTCTTAACTAGGATTGAAAACCTGCAAAAATTGCCCTGAAATCATACTAAACAAAAATTGAAGAAAAATAAGTCATTCAATGGCCCATGGAGATTAAAACAGGATATCAATAACATAATAGTTTAAGCATGTAATTAGATATGGCAAGAGCTAATTATAGATCAGCAGATCTGCAATGTTGAGGAGTGGGAGAAGCATCAAGTAGGGGGACAAAACCATAAAGCTCATCCCTAGCCCTCCCCATCAATTTAAGCAGAGAAGAATGAGGGAGACCATGGGGATCAAATTTTGCAGAGAATCAAGATCAGCATCTGCTGATATTAAATTACTAAAAAGGACAACTTCGTAGAGTAAAATAGAAGTCAGAGCAATAATACGACAGGCGAATAACTACTTGGACTGTTAGTTATACCCAAAAATCAATCTTCTTTCATTTCCTCAGAGAAAAAACAAGCAAATACTATTACCTTGCATCATATTGGGCCCTCGAACCCATATTTCCCCTAATTGATTTGGAGGAAGGGGCTTTAGACTCTCTATACTGACTATTTGAGCTTCAATGTTTGAAGCAAGCTTTCCTGTTGAACCAGTATGTCGGACACCAACTGTGGGATTCTCCACTGCAATAATGGCACAAGTTTCGGTCATTCCATAGCCCTGAAACCACAGAAAGCTTCATGAAGAGAAGGCAACTTCTCTACTCCAAGCTAATACTAAAAATTCACAAAGCATTAATTGGAACAACTTCCAAATTTCCGATCCGACCAAAATATACAAAGCCAACATCTGAACATCATTTTTACAATTTCAATCCTACTTCACATATACCAACAGGTTAATGGATGACTTGCAACATCCAGGAGTGACGTTCAGCATTCCTTGCTTCCCATTAGAATATCGTCCAAGAGATCAATTTGATTAAAGACAACCGTGATTAACACAATTTGGATATTTACTGCAATTTTTTTTATGTTTACACGGGACCATATCAGCTTGTAATTCAGTATAACTTTTCAATACTTGATAACTAAAGTACCTGCATAACCACAGCTTGAGGAAACTTCTTTGCGCATTCCTCCATCAACTCCTTCCCCAGAGGAGCAGCACCAGAACCAATTTGCCTCACTGAGGAAAGATCAAACTTCTTAACCACACTCTGCTTAGCCATAGCAAGCACAATTGGAGGCACAACCCACAAATGCGTTGCTCTATACTTCTCTGCATTCCTCAAAAACATCCCAAAGTCAAACTTTGCCATTGAGACCAAAGCATTTCCCTTCTGCAGCTGCCCATATACGATAACCGCCAACCCAAAAACATGAAACATAGGCAAAACACACAAGAAAACCCGGTGCATATCCCCAGCAAGTTCTTGATCCACGATCACCATCAAAGCCGCCGCAATGAAATTTCTATGTGTCAAAACAACACCCTTACTGACCCCTGTCGTGCCTGAAGAGTATAAAAGCGTTGCTGTATCAGTCTGCTTAACAGAAACCGTGGGAAATTCCGTTACATTCCCCGCTAAATCGAGAAGATCGTGAAAAGATAGGATTTTTGGCCCATTTTTTAGATCATATGGTTGTTGGTTTCGTTTAGAACCAAGCAAGATTACAGGGAGCTTGAAATCTTTAACTTTGTCAATCAATTCAGGGACAGTGACAACAAGCTTCGGATTGGAGTCCTGGATTTGTTTTGAGAGTTCATTGACAGTATAAACGGGGTTGGCAGTTGTCGCAATGGCACCAATTGCGGTTACAGCAAACAAACAAAGAGGGAAGTGGATTGAATTGGGTGCAAAGATCAAGACTCGGTCGTTTTTGTGGATACCCAGATTGAGAAAAGCATGGGAGAGCTTGATGACGGTAGATTTGAACTGAGAGAAAGAGAGAGTTTCATCAGAATCAGCATCAATGAGGGCTGGTTTGTCAGGGTAAGAAGAGACGTTTCTGAAGAGAAATTGCACCATGGAAAGATTTGGTTCCTTGGGAAGAACTATAGGTGGCCTTAAAGACCTGTAAATGCCATCTCTTCCATACCCAGATTTCTCCATTAAAAGCTTTTCTTCTTCTCTTTTTGGTGATTGTTTGAGATAATAAAAAATGGAAGCTTTGAATATGGACGTGTGTCTGGCAGTGAGAAGGAATATGATTACTTTATGAATATAAAAGATTTAGTTGAAGAAGCAATTGCAGGTGAGGACAGGAAACAAAACGATGACGGTAGCGATAAGATATCAGGACCAAATAATTTTGTCCCAATTGCAACCAAGGCAAAGAACGAGGAGTTTCTATTAAAAAAAATTTTTAATTATTTTTTTTTCATTTTCGTTTCATTTTTAAGATTGGAAATTTACAAAGCTAAAATATTTTTAAAATTTTTGTATTTATAAATTCCGAATCTCTTAAAGATTTTTAAATTTACATATTCAAAAATTTTTAAAATTTTTCAGATTTATATATTTAAAAATAAAAAGTTTTTTGTAAGATTTTTTAAAATAATTTTTTCATAAATTTAAATGTAAATTTTTTAATTTATCAAATATAAAAATTTGATATACTATATAACTTATTGAATATATATTCAATGAATTATATAATTTATCAAAAATAAAAAATTTTGAAATTATAATTAAATATTTCATTTAAAAATTAAAAAACTGTGAAAATGATGTGGCAAGAATCTCCCGCATGAGGATAGAAAGAAGCTAGATTGGCATTGAATGGGCAATACAATAATCGTACGGCTGGATTCTGACTCAGCATCACCATATTGATCCTTTTGCCCTCTGTAAAGCTAATACGTAATCAGCAAAAAATGATCAGCTTACTTCAAAATGAAAAAGTCAATAGGTGGAGATGGAATCCCTTAAAATTAGGAAGTTTATAAAGTTCGGTTTTGGGTTTTCAAGTGGCCTTCTTTTTAGGGTTGGTATTGAGTGGGGATGTTAATTGTTAGGATATAAATAGGGTAGAGTTTTTTTTTTTATTTTTATATTATATTTATTATAGTATTTATAGATATTTTAAATTTATTTTTATGTTTATTTTTGTGAATTTTTAATGGGTATGAGTAAAAATTTAAATTATGATCACAAATATATTTTTGATTGTGTTGCATTTATCACAATTAGGGATATAACACATATTATCGTAATCATTATTGTTATCACGATTATAAATTTTTTTTTATTTGTACAACTTGTTATAAAATATAGTAATTATAATTATAATTATAATTATAAATTTTTTTCATGATTTTTAAAGTAATTAATGACACATTATCTTATTTTATTTATATAACAAAATTATTTACAATTTTTTAATATTATAGTAAACTATTCACATTTAAAAAATTAACAACATGCAAATATTAAAACAATAAAATCCAAATAAAAATAAAAAATTAAATTAATATATTAATTATTTAATATTTTATTTTTTTCATCTAAATTATAATATAATATACCTTTCAAATTTACATTAAACTCTTTCATCTCAAATTTTTTAGCCAAAATTAATTTTCAAAACTTTTCAATTTTAACTAATTATTTCTTTCTAAAATTTTACCCTTAAATTTATAATAAAAAAAAAATTGTTTGGTCAAGCATTGAATGCCCACCAAACTCTCCATTACATACAAATATTTCTTTCAATTAAAAGTATAAAATTCCCCAATATCCTCCAAATCTTTTCACTTAAACTTTTTTCATTTTATTCTCAACCCCTACTTTCTACCATTCTCACAAATTATCTACCAGCCATGTCAACTAACCATTCTTCAAGCTTCCACCTTCATTCAATTTTCCACCCAATCAATGTTATGACTCATCTAATTTTTTCTTCGATCCAATTAGCACAATCCCAAACCTACGCCCACAGAGTGCTCATATAAGGGTTTTTGAGATTTAAAGTTTCAAACAAAATCTCTCTAAGGTCTAAATTTTTTTAAATCCTATACAACACAAATTTGCAAACATTTAAACAGAAAAAAAATGTAATTTTGAGTGTTTTATTATTACTTGATCTCAATATTTTTTTTATTTTTGATTTAGCCTTTTTTTTATTGAATTATTGTAAATCTAGGATTTCTTTTTTGTGTTTGGGGTTTTACTTTGTTAATCTTTATTGAAAATTTGAAAATTTAATACTTAATGATGAAAACAAATTCTTCTTTATTAAATTATGGAAAAAAAAGGAAATAGCACTAATTGTGTTCCGATATTACCGCTATGACCTTTTTTTGTAGCTGTAATGAATTATATAAAGACATGAATTTTCTTCACACCCAATATCAATTGAATAGTAATGGCGGTGGGTGTTGATTCTGCTAAATAATGACCGCAATACCGTTATTGCAACATTATTTGAATCCATAAGTATGAGTAATTTTTATACCAATAACTTTTCAAAAAAGCTAAAAATTAAAATTTTTTTGCTTTTTTATTTTTATCTTGTATATTTAAGTAAATTTTTATAAATATATATTAATATATATTTTGTCAATAAAGAATATATTAATTTTAATTTATATAAGATAATAATTTATATTATTTAATAAAAATTTTATATATTAAAAATATATAAATATATATGTAAAGTACATGTACGAGATTAGTGCTATATTACCTATCTTCATCCTTATACCAAATAAAAAAAATTAAAATCATATCCATCCACATCTTCTGTATTTATAATGTAATACCCATTTTCATATTTATTTAGATAAAAAATCAAAATTTTCATTGGATATATATAAGATTGACACCTTAGTATTGAGATTTTTTTTTTTTTTTTTTGTATAACTGAGATTTCAGTTATATGGGTTTCAGGATAAAAGAAATTAAAAGAGATAAAAATGAAAGGAAAAGAAATTTAATCCAAAAAGTTAAAATAATAAAAAAATTCATGAATTAATCTATTTTACTTTAAAACTTTTTTATTTATATTATATTTAAATAAATTCTTATTCTTTAATTTTTATTTATATGTGTTCTTATTTTATATAAAATATTAATATATATTAAAAATTTATTTAGATACATATTAAAAATTAAGTACTTATTTATATACAAATTAAAATTTAAAAGTTTATTTACTTGTAAATTAAAAGTTAAAAAATTATTTAGGTGTAATGAAAGTATAAGAAATTATTAGATACATTGTCAATAAAATTTTTTAATTTCATAAATGAAATTAATAAGATAATACATGTCTCAATTTTTTAAAAATTAATTTTTATTTTTTAACGTATACACTAAGTAGTATGTTTCACCTATTAAAGTAAAGTTAAAAAATTTTACTATCAATATATTTGATAATTTCTTTAAAAGTATAAGTATTTTATCTAACTAATGTAGCAAAATTCAATGATTTTTTTTTTTTTGGTTATTTTAGCCAATCTAAAATCACTTTTTTTTTTCACATAGGATTAAAGTTTTGATTTTTTAAAGTTAATCTTTTTTTTTTAATTTGGCAAAAATAATACATTAAATGTAAACATTTTTTCTCAAATAATAATTAAATAATTCTTAATAAGTATTATAGGCATCCGTTTAATGATATTTTAACAAATAAATGAATTTTCTTAAATTTTAAACGTTTATTTATTTTAATAATCAATTATCATATTATATAATCAAATTATAATTATTAAATAATTAATTAAAAATAAGATTATGATTAAATAATCAAATCCACAAATGAACTTAGGACAATTCTTTTTGTCATTAAACCAAAATTTAATCCGTAAATTTCAAGTTTTTGTTAAAAAATTCAAGAAAGCAATAATTTGATCAAATAGTAAATTTTTTATTATTATAACATTTATTCTTTTTTTTTCATTTAAATTTCCATACATAATTTTTCAAATCGAATTTAAATATTTATAAAAGACCAAGTACTTCCTATCTAAGAGACTAATAGTCTAAAGCTCCAAAACCATTAAAAATATAAAAATTCTCATGTACTTTATTGGAACCACAAGCATAATTCCAACTATGTTTTTTTTTTTTTCCAAACGAGGACAAACATTTGTAAAAAAAAAAATAATAATGGAATTAAAACTCACGTATATATGTTTTTTTTAAAAATTTTTTAACTATTAAGTCAAGAGGTGAAAAAAGTTTCAATTATATATTTATACTATTAATAATGCTTTCATTGAATTTTATATCCAAGTGAAATAACACCAAATTAATAAAAAATTATAAAAAATAAAGATAACATAATAACAAAAAAAAAGAAGGAGTATTTCTTTCTTATTTATATTTTTTATTTTATATATTAAAAAAAATTATTCACTCATTCCATATTCTTTTTAAAGAAAAAAAAACCACCCATTTATCATATAATATATGTTTTTCTCTTTCACACTCGTAGTGACGATAATAAACTTTGGAATTGGTACATATTTTCTAAGGATTTTTTTTAATGAATTGGATAATCATCTTAGTACTTTGCCGCAGTCATTGCTTAACTTTTAGCAACTCTTAAAATTCAAAGGGAAAGAAAGTCTTGTCTTTGATTTTTTTGTTGATGTCAATGTCAAAAAGGGCTTGCTTTTCAGCCTCCGCCGCCTTATTTCGACTTTTGCTGTTTCATTTGACTGGGAAACCTTGCCATCACCTTCTTCACTCTCATTTTCTTTCATTTCAAAACCCCTTAACCCAAAGGTTTTTTCTTTTTTAAACTTTCTAAAATAAATTCATTGATCTTATATCATTTCACTAAAACGTCTAAACTCTAAAAGCCCTATCTCAAAACATCTTCTTTTTTAGAAATTTAATCGAAACTTTTGGGTTTTTGTAGGATCGAACCCAGTTTAGGTTATATTCAATGGCGTCATCAGAGTCAAAAGAATCAGCTGCCAATAACCCTGGGCTTCATACTACCGCCGATGAAGTCACCAAGGGCTACTTCATGCAGCAAACTGTAAGTTTTCTATGTTTCTTTGGTCTCTCTCTATCAATCTATCTATCTGTCTATCTTTATATGATTTTTAAGAAATTTTATGTTAATGGTTTTTTTTTTTTTGGTTGCAGATGTTTCGAATTAAGGATCCAAAAGTCAGTCTTGATTTTTACTCTCGTGTGTTGGGCATGTCGTAAGTTATACTGCAGTTATTTTTTTTTTTTTTTGGGTTTTTCTTTTAGTTTAGCAATCTACCGTTTATTTTTTATATCTAATTTTATTAGTTAGTTCGCTATTTAATGAGGAATCAAAGGTTTTTTTTTGAAAATATCTCAGTGTTGTGAAAATTGAAGTGAATTGAAACTTTTATTTATCGTAGCATTTTCGAATTGACTCTTGTTTTTGTGCTCTAGTAGTTAA